TCACTTCAATAAAATTAAATTAATATTTAAAAATTTTAATTGTATTATTAATATATATATATATATATCTAATAAAATTAAATTTTTAGTAACCAAGGAAAAGTACCTTAAGAAAGATATTTAAAAGTATTTGAAAATGGCTTCGGCCTTATCTGCAATATGACTTTTTCTTTCACATTTTTTAAAACTCCTTGAGACCAAGACCTAATGAAAAATCAGAAAGTATATGTAGCATGGACCAAACCCATCATAGAATTTATTGAGAAACATTTATCATAAATTTATGGTGATTTGATTGATTTAATTTGTCAATCGCTTAAAGATTAATTTATGTAGGTAATAATTTGATTGATTCGAAGGGCCGACTTGGCTCAGCGGTAAAACCATTTACCGTGGGGTCTGAGGTCGCGGGTTCGAATCTACCTCTCTACACTAAAAATGTAGGGGTAAGGTGGCCTAATATATTCCTTTCCCAGCACCCCCACGGGGATACGAACTGGGTTGGTCCTTTAATAATTTGATTGATTCAAATATATGTGATTGATGATAATTGATTACTATTTAGTGATTTAATTTGTATATTTATTACGAATTTTTTGGATTTTTAAATTGTTATTTTGTTTTAGTGGACATAAATAATAAAAAAATATTTGAATCCTAAATATCTCAGAATAATTGTGAGGAGATTTAAATCCTAAATAAATGTATTATTACTTCCATCTCCCAAAACGGCACACCCGGAATCGTATGCCACGGTCTCGATATGCCTCCCGAGTCGATCCAGACAGCCGTAAATGGTTACAGATTGAGGATGAGACTTATCTCTAACGATGAATTCGGACACGACACCGTTCACTTCAATGGCGCTGCAGCCAGGAATCTTCTCCACGCCTCTCTCCTGCATCATCCTCCTCACTCTCCTCGCCTCTTCCCACATGTTTGCCTCACCATACATACTTCCCAGCATTACATACGTTCCGCTGTCTCCCGGGTCGAGTTCCAGAAGCTTCTCGGCCGCCTTCCGTCCCGACACGACGTTTCCGTGAACCCTGCAGGCGAAAAACAACGCTCCCCAGACCACGGCATCCGCCTCCATCGGCATACTCTCTATGAGCTTCTCTGCCTCTTCCAAATGTCCGGCTCTTCCTAGAAGATCCACCATGCAGGAGTAGTGTTTCACTTCGGGTTCGAGGTTGAATCTTGATTTCATCTGCGAAAAATAGTCCCGGCCAGCTTCGACCATGCCTGCGTGGCAACACGCTGATAGAACCTCGAGAAAGGTTATCTCATCCGGGTTTATCCCGGAATCCACCATTTCTTTGAAGTATGTTATTGCAGCTTGTGCGTGCCCGTGAACCGCTAAGCCTCCGATGATGGATGTGTATGTCAACGAGTTTCTTACCGGCATTTCATGGAAAACCTCGAGAGCTTTTGCGATGTTACCACACTTGGCATACATGTTAACAAGCTCTGTTCCTAGGGCAACGTTAAGATCGAGACTCTGTCTTTTGATGTAATGGTGAATCCAAATGCCGAGATCAAGGGCACCGAGCTGAGAACAAGCAGATAAGCAGTGGATCATGGTTATTTCATCGGGCTTCGTGGTGCTTGTTTGCATTTCGTGGAACAATGCCAAAGCATCACGGGCACGTTTGGATTCGACAAAACCCCCGATTATCGCGTTCCAAAGCACGACATCCTTCTCTTCCATACCATCGAAAAGGTTTCTAGCAACATCAACCATGCCAGATCTAGCATAGCCTACGATCATCGTAGTACACGACACAATCGTTTTCTTCTCCATCTTATCGAATATTCTCCGTGCCTCATCGATATCCCTGCACTTACAGAACATATCCATCAAGGCATTTGCAAGAGGAACAGTCATGTTCAGTCCGTTCTCTTTGATATACCCATAAAACTCTCTTCCGAGATTCAAATTCTCCAACTGTGCACACGAAGAAACCAACCCGATCATAGTCACCTCATCGGGCTTAACTCCTTCAGCTTCCATCTCCCTGTAGACCCTTATTGCCTTCTCTGCTTCGCCAATCTTTACGTAACCATTAATCAAAGAATTCCAAGAAATCAAGTCCCTCACAGGACTTTCATCGAACACCTTCCTCGCATTCTCCATTTCTCCGCAAGAGGCAAGCATATGAATCGAAGCATTGTGCACATGAACGACGAAATCCAATCCCAACTTAAAGACATGCCCGAGAATCATATAACCTAAACGATTCAACCCAAGTTCGGCGCAAACCCTGAACAAAACCGGGTATGTGAAGTTGTCTGGTCTGCACCCACCATTTCTCAGCATCTCCTTGTACAGCAGCACCGCTTCTCCAGGACTCTCGCTATCGGAGAAGCCCCTAATCGCCACATTCCAAGAGAACGGATTAGGGTTCTCAAGCCCTTCGAGAATCTCCCGACAGTAGTCGAGATTCCGGGATTCCGACAAGGCGGAGAAGGCGATGAGACGACTGGAAGCAAACGCATCGAGAATTAACCCAGTAACTATCATCTGAGCTTGAATTTGCTTCAAATGGAACAAGGATTTGCATCTTTCGAGCAATGAGAGAAGTGGGTTCTGGAGTACGAAGCTGTGGGTCGAGTTCCAGGTGACGGGTTTGTCTCTGTGACGAGGGAGGGAGCGAGTATGGCGAAGAGAAGACAGTGAACGATGGAGTTCCGGAATCTGAGGAGGAGAAAGGAGAAACCTAGGCTTAGTTACATTAGATATGCTCATCAGATGGTAACTCCTTTGGGCGTAAGGTCGTCGGGAATATCTCCGGCAGAAAACTCCGGCGACGTTCTGCCTTGTCCGTGGTAGTGTTTAGATGATTGGGTCAATGGCCCAAAGGCTTTTTTTTCATAGACCACCTTTGGGTCATATAATTATATCATCCAATTACTAAAAGATAACACATTTTTAGTAAGATATATATATATATATATATAAGATTCCAAAAACTATTTATACAATGTGGGTTTCATCATTTTTCCAATTCAATACATTTTGTTTTCATTTTTCCTCCTAATTTCAAGAGATGAGATCGATTTTTGAATATGTGAAAAAAAATGAATTTTGGTTTTAAGATTAAAAATTTTGAAGAAGAAAAAAACAGTGACCTTCTCGCTTCATAACACCGTGCGGATATATATATATATATATATATATATATGAGACTTGAGTATTAGTTTTAGACCACATAAGGATGAAAATATTAATTAAGGTATTTAGACTTTTAAAAAAAGGTTAGAACTAGAACCAATTCCAACTTTTCACTGATCACGAAAAAGTCAAAAAAAAAATTGCATCACGAAAATCCCAAAGCAAAAAGATTTTATAGCCGAACTCATGCATGTATAAAGATGCACATACATGCATGCATATATACATGCATGTCTGCGTGTATATATATGTATGTATGTATATGTGGAGGTGCATTAATAGATGAAAATGTTTGGAGAAGAGAGAACAAGGTATAAACAAAAGACAGAGATGGTACACCCATGCATGCAAAACACAAACACACACGCTCGTGTTGTCTCGGGAATATCTCCTCCTGTAATCAAATATTTTTTTTAAAAAAATATTGTATATATTTATATAATCCAAAATACTTTTGAGTTCACACGTTATACATCAAACTATTTCATTACCAAATGTTGAAAGTTTCTTAACCCTCACATTTTGACCCACCCGACGATGTCAATAGAGATTCTCTACTTTAATTAGTTTTTAATTAATGTTAGTTATTTAAGATTAGGGGAGAGGGCATATGTTAATGTTAACATACACGTTAATTATTGATTGATACATTAAGAACACACGCTAAACGTAATGAAATGGAAAAAAGATTTTTTTTTGTGTGTTATGAAAATAGCGAAGAAACGCAATAATTTTACGACGAAATAGAAATTCGAAAATTAGAGAAATTTTCTTCACAAGATCAAACTCTTCACGTATTTTTTTATAGCTATAAAACTCTTCATGTATATATATCGGACGAAAATCAAACAATAGCAACCACCGACCAGAAGGATTATCGATATTTAAATCATCGATCCACGTATATATATCGGACGAAAATATGTGAGTTTCTTGAACGAATTTTATATGGTTATCAATTTCGAAGGCTATAAAAGTCCAAAAGATCATGGAAACTAACGGGAAGGAGATGTCGGAACGGTTTTATGTAGAGTTTACATGCATGCTAATGCACGTAAATGAACTTTATAAATATATTGTATACCTTTTTTGTCGTAATATTATATATTTTGTTTTAATTAAATTTGGGTTCCCCAGTAATTTGGTTCTGAAGCTAAGCCGACAGATACGAGCCCACCAAAGCAAATGCTGTCTTAGATCACAACTGTTCCCTTTCCCAATGTCCTGAAAATCCCACACAACCAAAAAGTTTATGAACTCTTCTATGCTCTTAGTCTCTCTCTCTCTCTTTCTCTCTCTCTCTCTATATATATGTGTGTATATGTATGTATAAGTTCAATGTTGAAGGAGACAAGACAAGCCTATTTCTTTGATTGCTGTTTTTGCCCTTGATCCCTTTCATACTTTGCTGCCCACCGACGGGTTGGTGGGTGAGCAGACACCTGATGATGTACCAAAATTAATTCATTTTAATAGACATATTGTGTATATAATATGTGTTTTAAAATTAATTGAATAGTCAGTTTACATATCAAAAACTTTGAAAAAGCCCTTGTAATATTATCCATCTTTCGGGCACTATGCCATCCATGATATGATGATTCTCATTTATATACGCATTATACTCATGTTGACAGGTACAAAAAAAAAATCTAATTTATGTAAGTACCCCATAAAAAATCAAATGAACATTCTATTTTTTTTTTATCGCATCATATCCTTACTAATTTAACTTTTAATTGTTAGAATATTTATATAACCTCTGTAATTAAATCTCAAAATTAGTCATTTCGATCCAAAATAATCAGCTATTAAGAAAAATTGGTATGTTTTTTTTTTTAAAAGTTTTATCCTGATTAGATGATACTTGCATCTTGCGTTTGCTATTTAAAATTCTCTAGTTTGACTATTCTACTATCATATATAGTTAATCAAAATGAGTGAATATACATAGTGAATAAATTACAACAAATATTATATATATATATATATACATATATATGGGGATATTTGTTTCTTGCAATATCGTTTAGCACATTCTTCAAAGTGTTCCTCGTTCTTGCAAGTACCAAGATAGTTTCCTTCTACTTCTTAGACTATCTTCTTGTCTCTTTCTTCTCTCACCCTCTCTCTGCCCTTTTGTATACATGACATTTTCCACCGCCTCTTCACATCCCACACTAGCTACATACATGCATCTTGCATATATATATATATATGCGTATATATATATGTATATTGTATCTCTCTCCATCTCTAAACACAAAGTGCCCATCTTCTATATACTGCTTTCTTTCACTTTTGTCATCTCCTCTCAAGAAGTCATGTCTGATCCTTTCTCAAATCTCTTCAGCAATGGATCATGGAACTATGGCTTCAACTATTCCACTTGTCTTCCATATGTTTACAACCCTCATGACTATTGTTATTACACAAACAACAGCAACAACACAAACCCTAATATGATTTCTACTGTTGCAACCCCAGAAGTTGACTCTCCTCCACTCAGACAAGCTCTTCCTCTCCTTAGCTCGAGCCCTATTAGAAACGATCAAGACCAACCTCATGAGTACCGTTATTATTCCATGGACACAGATCACAGTTCTTCAAATGTTTTTGATGGTCATGACCATGTTGGTCAAAATGTTACTGTGGATCTTTGTCTAGGGTTGCCAAATCTCATTAGCAACAGCAGTTCCTGTAATGGCGGTGGAAGCAGTAGTGGTGATATTGTTCCAAACGCGTCCGAGGAGCACCACCACCATCACCACCATCATCCTCATCAAGATCAAGAGCTAGAGATTACAGTTGCTTCTCATCATCATCATCATCATCATCATCATCATCATCATGACCATGGTCATGATCATCATGGTGGTGGATTAAACAAAGGCCATCAGTATTGGATCCCAACCCCTGCACAGATTATGATTGGCCCTACACAGTTCTCTTGCCCACTTTGCTTCAAGACCTTCAACAGATACAACAACATGCAGGTATCAAATCACTTCAGCTGGTAAATTCCTCCATTTTTTTTACTCTATACATCTTGCAAGGTTCATTAATTGCCTCAACAAAAAAAAAATAGAAAGAAAGAAAGAGGAAGTACGTGATATAATCATGAGTAACATTGCATAGGTCATTTTGAATGATGGAACATTATATTACAAGTCGGGGTTCAGAGATTGATTGATTGGATGGGTACAAAAGTTGAACTGATTATTCAGAATATCTTCTTTAACCCAACAGTCTTTTTCATACTCTGACTTCGCTTCTTGCTCGGAATCATATGCTTAAAGTGAAACCAACATCTTTTTTACTGTCTCGTTCTTGACCTTTGTGCAGCAGAACTTCTGGATTACTACAGAACCCAACTATATATACACACACACACATATATATATATATACGTAGTTACGGTCGACCTTTCACAACTCGATATGTCGACTAGTCAAAGGTGAAAGCAATATGATATATATATATATATATAAATAAAGAGAAAGCATAATGTTATACACAGTAAAATATAGAGTTCTGCGGTCTTAAGCAGCGATTCACATCGTGTATCTCGTATTGTTTGTGTGTATATATGTATATAACAAACACATATATTTGACGTACGTAATTTTTTTTTTTTATGAAATGTGAACGGTGTGACCCTTAAAGAAAGTTGGAACTGACAGAAACAAATTTTCTTTTTACTAGCTACAAGTATTTGTATCAATTATGAAAAGAATCGACATTTTTGCACAAGAGAAACGCATAATAAAACCAAATCTAGTCCTAATGTTTTTTTTTCTCGGAAATGTTTCGGTCGCTGGTCCGAACCGCAGATGCACATGTGGGGGCACGGTTCACAGTACAGAAAAGGGCCCGAGTCACTGAGGGGAACCCAACCGACGGCAATGCTGAAGCTGCCGTGCTATTGCTGCTCGCCCGGATGCAAGAACAACATCGACAACCCGAAAGCGAGGCCTCTCAAAGATTTCCGTACGCTCCAAACGCATTACAAACGCAAGCACGGGACGAGGCCTTTCGCTTGTCGGAAATGCGGCAAGGCGTTTGCCGTGAAAGGCGACTGGAGAACCCACGAGAAGAACTGCGGCAAGCTTTGGTATTGCTCTTGCGGGTCTGATTTCAAGCACAAGAGGTCGCTCAAGGACCATATCAAAGCCTTTGGGAATGATCATGTTGCTTGTGGGATCGATGATTTCTTCGGGGAACAAGATGATGAGGCTGCCTCCGACGTCGACCAATATTACAACAATTGTTAGGGTTTTTTTAATTAAAAAGATATATATATTAGGGTTCGTTTTTATTCTTCTAGTTTGGAGTTTTCATGCACTGCATGCATGCAGATGAACACGATTCCATCTTTGTATCGTTCTTTCGTTTCTTGTTGAGTTTCTTTCTCAATGATTTGATCTCGTGGCTTAATTATTTTTCTTTCATAAAATTGTATTTTTAAGCCATTAATTTTTCATATGGGAGAAGTACTTTTGAAGAACTTTATTGTCTTCAATTACAGCATTAATTAACAATCATATAATTACTGAGACATTATTTTAAAGGACCTATAATTATCCCTGCGTATTTTTATTGAAATGATTGTTTCTTATGGTAATAAATATACCGGTCAAAGATAGAGACGGTTGCATCACCGCCATGAGTTTGATGTAGGGATGGGAAAAAAAACCCGAATTTCAATTATCCAATCGATCGGCGGGTCGGATACCTGAATTTTCGGGTATCCGAGAGAACGAGACACGAGATCGAACATTAATATTAGAATACCTGAATTTTCGGATTCGGTTTCAAGTAACTGTTATTATCTCATGAGTATGCGCGGATATCCAGATAATAAAAAATTATCCTTTAAATTTTAGACTTATTAGTTTTTTTGTTATTTTATTTAATATTAATGATTATATAGATATTATTGGATATATTTATGATGTATTTTTTAAAAAATATTTTTATTTTAGATATAAATACAATTTAAATTTATTTTGAATGATTTTGAATATGTATATATAAATATATTTTAAAAAATTGATTGAAAATAATTATAAATATTCGAGTTCGGTATTCGCGGGTGATAATTATTTCACAGATTTTTGGGTTCGGGTATCCGACTTCATGGATACGAGATCGGATAATAAAACATATAATCTGAAATGTTCAGATTCGGATTTAAATACCCTCAAATTTTCGGGTACCTGACCCGTGGCCACTAGTCCACCCCTAGGTTGATGTCCAAAAACGTTCGGTTTGGAATGTGTGGTCATTTTCTCAAATCTAAAGAATATTCGCGTATTTCATGATTTTAAAATAATACGGGGATTACATTGCAATTCTTCAAAAGTATAAAAATAAAATTTAACCGTTTATTTTCCTCCAGGTCCGGGTCGGAGTCCGGGTCGATTCGAGAGAATTTCGGGTAAACGTTTTGGGTGAAGGAAGGTGAAAGGCAGAAAACGAGAGTCCGAGACGCAAGGTCAGGTATCTATGCATATATCCATATACATAGACTGATGATATCGAGGGTAATAGCCATGGATTAGGGTTTAGGGTTTCCCATTTTCTTGGATTAACCCCAAAAAAAAACGATCTCTTTCTTTGGCTTCAGATATTCTTCTCGTACCCCTCTATAATTTCTCGGATTCTCCATCTCTGAACGCGAGTTAAGAACTCTGTTGGAAAAACCCAGGAAAAAAGTCGGCGCCTTTGTTGGGGTTTATCTCGTGAATACCAGTCAGATAGTTCGATGGATTCTCAGGTGATCGTGGCGCTTGGGCTGTCTCTTGTGGGTGGATTGAGCACTTCGATTGGTGGGTCAATGCAATTCCTACCGCTATTCAAATTTGGAAAATTTACTTTTCTATAGTTTTAAATAGAGTTGTTTGTTGAAATGTGAGGTTGGTAATAGTTTAGGAGATCATACGAGTGAATTGAGCTGAAAGGAGAAACCCTTTTTTTCGATCTGTGGTAATATGATTTGAGATTGATATGTCAAGTTTAGGAGATCATATGAGTGAGTGTATGAACTTGTGTGCTACGGTTTAATGATGATGAGTTTTTTTATTGCCCTTAATTCTTATTCATATGAGAAGAATCTAGCTTGAAGCCTTGAAGAGGAACAATTCCATGTATCTTTCGAAATGTTGCTTATGATTGGATATTGCAATTGAAAAAGCATAAATTGTGTTGGTTGGTATATTGGTAGTTCCTACATGAGAAAATGTGGTTGGTCTCTTACACTTCAAATGCTTAAAATTGTTGATCCTTTGTATGAAAATGATGTTTCTGTATTTCTGCTTCTTGAAGAGGGGGAGATGTGTGAATCATGTGATGCTATTCAAGTAATAAAAAGTGTATGTTGTTGTAACAGGTGCTCTTTTTGTGATTCTTAGTCAGACTCCCAATATGAAGATGCTTGGGCTTCTACAGGTGATGCTATGATCTAGTTTTAACTTATGTTCTGTTTCTTTCTGAATCAGACATGAGCACATATGTCATTTTGATTGTTTTTTTGTAAAAAGTTATTTTTCCCATATTTCAGATAGCTATTTTGGGGTACTTTGCCAATACTTATACTCTCAAACATTAGCTTAAACAGAAATTGCTATAGTTTGCATGTCGTTTCATCTGGAAGATTTAGCTCGTATGTTACGCAATTACATAGCTGATTCTTTGAGGCTGTTTCTGCAGGGGTTTGCTGCAGGTTTGATGCTGAGCATTTCATTCCTGGATTTGGCTCATAATGCTATAAACTCTATCGGGTTCTTAAGAGGCAATCTCTGGGTAGTATTTCTTTCCTCTTCAATATTTCTCGATTTTATCTAATGAAATGCACATTCTTTTAACACTCGGAGATTAATTTCTAGTTTTCTAGTAATGCAGTTTTTCGGAGGTGTGATATTTTTTGCATGTGTTGCTAAATTCATCCCTGAACCAACCGTTGGTCCTACAACAGACGTGAAAAAAAGAAAGGCTAGTAACATTATGTTCTCTTTCTTAGCAAGTGCTTTATGAAAGACGATCCGTTCTTGGATTTCATCTTTCTCTAGTTTGCTGAAAGATTGACATGTATTGGCAACAGAAAAATGGGGATGAGGGGGGCAAAGACATGATGAAGAAGCAACGTCGGCAAGTCTTATTTAGTGGGATAGTTACTGCTATAGGTATCTTCTATTATCAGCACCTTTACTTAGATTTGCTAATCTTTTGTTTTGAGAGTTCGTGTTGCATTTATAGATGCCCTAAACAATTTGCGTCTTATATGTTTGTCAGATTACTTAACTAAAACCCGTAAAAATCCATTGCATTCTCTTGACATTGATCCATTTTATGCACTTTTGATCTTCTGTGATATCTTTCTGTTCATTGCTTCCTCTCATTGTTGATTGTTCTAGCTGCATTCATTTGAACAGGAACTGGATTTGATGAAGATGCTGAGTTTTTGTCAGTTTAGCTTTTTGCCATGTCTTGATGCTTAAATATGTTGGAAATAATTGGTAGAATCTCTAATATATGGAAGGAAAACACTACTCCCATTTTCTTGAACATAATCCTTCTGAACCCAAAATTAGCTGGCTGGTCGATATATTTCACTTGGGGAAAGCCGATTAGGAATTGTATACATTTAAGTCCCTGTGATCTTTGCTCCAATCGGTGAAGTTATCTTTGTTTCTGCGGATTTTATCTAGCTTGACTGTTTATTGCATTTCTGTAAATTAAGTCCAGCAAATTTATATAATAAACATAGTGAATATGTTTTCTTTAAAAACTAATATGAAGTGGTTAACTCTTTGGGGTTCTTTCCTTCACCTCCTAATCACAGGCATAAGTTTGCACAATTTTCCCGAAGGGATGGCAGTGTTTCTTGGATCGATTAAGGTGAGTTCAAAGAACCCTGCTATCCATTTCTTTTTTTCGTCTAGAAATTTACAGACTTTGTACATAATCTCAATTCCCTGGAGAGGGAAACTATGATGTGCCTAAATTTATTTGCGTGTTGTGTTTTCGGAAATGGGACTTGGATTGTCAATGGCAATTATATTAATGTTTCTTTCTGTTCGGATCATACTTTCACAGGGTATGAGAGTTGGTGTCAATCTGGCTTTGGCGATTGCTTTGCATAACATTCCAGAGGTACCTAATCTGTAAACCCGTAGAAATTTCCCCTTTTTTTACAAAGTTACATTCACCGCGACCAAATCATGTCTTGTAGAAGAACGTTAAATCATTTGTCTATCTCTCTCCAATCGTACAGTCATGTTCTTCTTTTTACGTCACAGGGTGTTGCAGTTGCACTTCCTGTTTATTTCGCTACCGAAAGGTAATAGCCTGTTCACCTTATATGAATCTGATTTCGATTTGAGAATTGAGTCTCACTTTTTCCATGAAAATTTTAAGTTAATATAAAGATCCCTTCGTTTTCATTTCCGGATCGAAATCGAAATTACGCACGTTATAGCAAGTGGCAGGCGTTCAAATTGGCAACACTCTCTGGTTTAGCTGAGCCTCTTGGCGTAATTATAGTAGGCAAGTCAGCTTCGTGTTTTTGGCTCATGCTAATTCTCTACGAGTAATCTCTTTCCCCGAGAGTTTATCGATAAATATTCTAAGGCCCTGTTTTCGCATCACTGCAGCTTATCTGTTTCCGAGCAGCTTGAGTCCAGAAATCCTCGAAGGCTTGTTGGGATCGGGTTGGTGGAAACTCTTTCTACAAAAAGACGATAATTCACGGTTTTGATTATTTCGTTTTTTGGTTGACGGAAAACGTTGTTTGTCTGTGCAGTTGGTGGAGTCATGGCGTTCCTCACGCTGCATGAAATGCTCCCTCTAGCGTTCGATTATGCGGGTCAGAAACAGGCGGTTAAGGCTGTCTTTCTCGGCATGGCTTGTATGTCTGCAAGGTATGAAGAAATTCCGAAACTCGCATAATTCAATCGATTTCGGTATTCAATCAAGAAACAGTTTCTAAGTACCAATTATAAGGATGGTAATCAAATAACGAGATTAAGGGTTGGGCGGTTTACGAGGTTTCTAACCATTTTTAATGGTCTCCATCTTTTGCAGCCTATATTTTCTAGAGCTAAGCTTACCTGAAACGATGAGCTTGTGAGGAGATGACCCACCATGAACGACAATCAGTTGACAGTAAATTATTTGTAACCTGTAAAGATTGGATTTAAAAAGGAAGGGGCTAACTCTATCGAATCTGTCAATAATTTCTAGATGAATTAAATTCCTTAATCATTTGAAGCATCCATTTATTCCTTGGATTCACATCACCAACGCGGAGTACCGACCACCATATATTTCGGACATAAATTCCGTTAGGAGATTTTATGATATCATCTTATAGATGAAGTAATTCTTGGACAAGATGGTCAAAGGCTGTCCAAGAGCTCCCTCCTGGCTCCACGGCCTTGACCGCTCTCTTCCCTATCTCGGCTGCCCGTGACCTGACCTCTTTCCCGTCGTTGCCCATCGCTGCTTGTATAGTTCGACCCAACTCATCCGGGTCAGGCACTGTCTCGGTTCCTTCACAAGCCCTAACCGCAATGCCCATATGGTCCACGACCAGCTTAGCGTTCATCGCCCCCCAGGGCCAAAGCCATGATCATAGTCTCGCTCGTTATGGCTTCCAATACTGAGTTCCATCCACAGTGGCTCAGAAACCCACCCACCGCCATGTGGCGGAGCAACACAACTTGTGGAGCCCAGCCTCTGACCACCATCCCTCGGCCCGCGACCCGCCCCTCGAACCCGTCTGGTACCGGGTCCTTTTTCACGACCCACACGAACCGGGTCATGCTCTTCTCGAGCCCTAGCGCCAAGGCATTACATTGGTCTTTGGTCAACAGTTTTTGACTTCCGAAAGAGACGTAGACCACTGACCCATCTGGGCATTGGTCAAGCCAAGTCAACAGTGCCTTCGTGTCCACGTCGGAGACCGAATCCGACCCGGATTTGCCCCGACCCGATGGGTCCAACCCGACCGAGCAGAGCGGACCGACTCCGAAGACCCGATCGTGACCCACTTTCTGCTTCATGTATTCAAAGTACTCATCTTCCAAACAATCGAAGGAATTGAACACACACCCGTAGCTCAGAATGTTCTCTAGATAGCTATTCCTCGCGATCTCGAGCTCCGGAGACGGTGAATGGATGTATCGACGGACCGTCGTCGGGATATGCTCCTTCTTGAAAACCGGAGTACGAGGAAGATCCAAGAAACGGATCGGCTCAGTGGATTTGACGAGATCAATGTTGTCGAAGCAGAATTTGACGACGGCGGCTAATAAGGCACCGGAGGAGAAGAACGCGAACCTGGGGATCCCGATCTGACGGCAGAGATCGTTTGTCCAACCGAGGAAGAAATCGGAGACGAACGCGACCGGTGGATTCGGATGAGCCCTGAACCAGTTGATGATGGGTTCACGGAGCTCTCGGAGAGAGGCCATGATCGGGTAGTTGCCGGAGTTCCCGACGTCTTGGACGTTCTCGACGCCGGAGGGGAGAGAAGGGTGTGGAGGGAAAGGGAAACTGACGGCGGAGATGGATTCGGAGGAGTGGGCGGAGAGAAGCGGAGAGAGGAAACGGAGGTTTCCGGTGGTAACGACAACTGAGACGGCGAGGCCACGCCGGCAGAGTTGGTGGGTCAGGTCCAGAAGCGGAAGCATGTGGCCTTGTGCTGGGTATGGAAACACAACAATATGCGGTTTCGAGTTACCGGGTCGGGTCTCCGGCGTCATTTCTCCGGCGTTTTGCGGTGGCGCGTGCAGTGCAGTCGCCGTGATGGGTTTTGTTGATGAGTCCAGCGCTGGAGAAAATAATTTTTCCTGGGCTTTATTTATTTGTTTATGATTTTTGGAGGAAAATACAGATTTTTCAGTCAAAATGTTTTCAAAGCAAAAAGAAAACGAAAAGAGTACGAGTGAATATGCATTGACCACGTCTCCTGTCCATTTTATCATTTTGGAAGGGAATTAAAATTATAATTATTAGTTATATAATATATAGTGTGTAAAAATGTAATTCCCGACTTTGTTTGGTCGTTGAGTGGGCCCAATCACATAATTCAATATTAATTGTTAATTTCGTACATAAACTTTTCAATGTTTTCCACTCTTTTCCGTATCCATACGTGAGTGTTTTTTTCTTGCAATATCTTTATATATATATATATACATATATATTATTTACAGCTCCAAATTCTGCAAGATTTTTTTTGTGTGTATAGACCTGAAAAACCAAAAATATGTTCGGAATTTGTTATGATAATAGACCAACGTATAATTTCGTTTCGAATGGATTTTTTTAATGAATTCGAAATATGATAAAGTTTTTCTTTCAACAATTTCGATTTATGGTTAATTTGGTAACTATAAAAATCACCATCTTAAATTGAATATCTATCCTTTTTTTTTACAGTATTAGTAAAAACTTTATACCCACAAAAAAAACTAAATGGATGGATCCTCCTCCTGTTTTGTAAATGGTAGCCCTTGCAATCCTCCCTTCCTCTCCTCCTTCAACATATATCTATACATACACATATATATATATATGTATATATATCCAATCTCATTACCCTCAAAACATTAAAAAAAACTACAAAAACGTTTTTAAAAAACAATTATAAAAATGGCCATGAAGAACAACATCTCTATTGCATTGCTTTTCCTGGCTGCATTGATGAGCGTAGCCACCGCTACGATGGAGACACCGGCCCCGTCTCCGGGCCCTTCGGCCTCTTCTTCCTCCGCCGCCGTTACTTTTCCGGTGACTCTTTCCGTCGCCGCTTTGCTCTCAGCTTTCTCGGCCTTCCTTCTGCAGTAAGGAAAGGGTCCTTGACCCTAATCCTCGTTCGAAATCGATTTCTTGCACCGACAAAAGCTTAGATTCATCGGAAAACACCGTTTTTGATAAACCCTTTTGATGTATTATCACAATGTATAATAATTACAGTTACTATATATATATATATAATGAGTGTGAAGTAAGACATCACAGATCTTGTCCTGTCAATATTATGAATCTAAAATACGTTGTTTTTTAAAACATAAGTTATATTGATACTGAAAAAGCGCCGTTGTACGTATACAATATCACACAAATGTAAGATTGATGTTTAAATGCAAAAGAAATCGCTGCGATCACTTGTTTTTCTTTCAAGGGGCGGTTTCTGATTGCTTTCTCTGCAAATTCATGAGGCTTTTGGTGAGCCAAATCGCGGTTTCTCTCGACGAAACGGCTTCGTCTCCAAAGGGTTTCAAGATCCCCTCGAGTTCCTCGAACTTCTCTTGCCTAAGCAAACCCGCGCAAATCTCCAGCAGAGATTCCAACGCTTCCGCCCTCTCCTCGCTCCTCGGGATTTTCTTCTGATACTCTCGTAGCATGGTCAGCGTGCTTATCAACGATATCTCCTCGTCCTTGCATTCCCTCGCCACTTTCTCTCTCTCCATTGGAGGGCTCGCCCAAGTTTTGGCGAGGGGAGGACGAGTTTCGTTGGCTCTGTTCTCGTTGGATTTGGATACTATCGGCTTGAAGACAGGCGAAATATGTTGGCATTGTGCAAGATACGGTTGCAAGTGAGGATGCCTCAACAATTCCGCGGCCTAAAACATTTGGGAAAACAAAAGAGATATGCATAAAGGTGACGAGATAAAAACAAAAACGCAACACCGGGATGGAACTCACTGTAGGTCTGTGCTCGGGATTCTTGCGAAGCATGCTCTTGATCAGTCTCTTACTGCGAGTGTATAAATCTCGAATCATATATACAAAGGTCTTTTTTTTCGGGTATCATATTGATGAAAACGTATAATAATATACTCACAGTGAAGATGAATACATGACCGGGAGAGGAGAAAGAGAGGAGCGGTTGATCTTGTTGATGAGTCCTGCCATGTCCTGCGTCCGGTAACACAATTTTTCAGAATCTCGTTATCGAGAGTGAACGACGATACGGAACAGATTATGAGTTTTACGGGAGCCTTGAAAGCCGGCTGATGTGCAGCTACTTCGAACATGCAGCAACCTTGCAAGAACAGCGAAAACACGGCGAAAAAAATCATGTTAGAAAAAAAAAATGAATCGTTCATAAAATATGTTGCATTTTGTATAGGTTTTAGGGATCAGGATACGACTTCAAGACGTGTAATCGCTTTCCAAAAAGCGTTATTTTGTCCATGTCGGTTAAATGAGGTTGCGGAAATACACTTTTGATATATAATGAGGCCTCAACAATTTCGGTATACCTAAAGACCATATATCTGATTTGTATCCATATGGAATATCCGCGAGAAGCTCGGGGCACATGTAGTTTGGTGTTCCTACGACCTGCAAAAGGCATAAACTGAATTCAGAAGAATTTCTGAAACGAACTCGAATAATGAAGCAGAAAAAAGGGGAAGAGGAATACCGAGGAAGCGAGCTCGTCTTTGCTGAGGAGTTTCGCGAGGCCAAAGTCTCCTGAGAAATGTACGGTAAAGGCGAAGATATAAAACAACTCTTTAAACGAGAAACATCAAGAGGAGATTTTGAATCTTTACCTAACCGAATCTCGTTTTCTTTCGTGAGGAATACGTTCGAGCACTGGAATCCGAACACCGCAACGTTACTTCAACGATGACCCTTTTCTCCGCGAGCAGAGAAGCGTATATATGTGTATATATATATATGTATGGATTTGTACCTTAAGATCACGGTGAAGAACCCGATTGGAATGGAGGTAATCTATAGCTAGCAATAGCTGTACCATCCATCTGCAGAGTTTCTACAGAAAATAAAAGGAAGGAATGGTTAGAGAAATCAGGTGATGGTTATATATTCATATGAATGGACTGATTAGATTCCTTATTAGATTTAATTAATTACTTCTTCCGACACAAGTGTTCCTTTGGATTTCTTTATCATCTGAGCCCTGCATTGTCCAAAAAAACAAAAAACAAAATCAGTAGATCAATTACCGGAAAATAGCATCAAGAGCGCTAATGTTAAGAATCCAAATATACGATGCCTTACATGTCTCGGCCCTCGCAGTAACTCGTTACTATACATACACAATCCTGAAGAATCAAACGAGATTATATATATACAACACGTTAGAAACAATCGAGATATTCTCGGATCGGATAAGAGAATCGACAGGGTTACCTTCTCCACCCACGAATCTTTGTACTCCACAATGTACGGATTCTTGAGCTTAGATATCAAAGCCATCTGCATTCATCATAGGGCGTGAAAGAAAAAAAAATCTCGTCGGTATAATCATAATTCAAGATCAAATAAAGCTTTTCTCTCTTTTTTTCTTGTTTGCTAACCTCTTGAAGGGCAGCACGCTTGCATCTCTCGGTTTGCTTAGCTAAACGAATCTTCTTCACCACGTATCTACACGAACCAAATCAAGATTCGATCCAAAATCTTGAACAAGATTCAGAAAAAAAAAACGAATCTAACTTCGAATTCGACACTTTGAAAATTCACTTTTGTCTCTCGGATTTGTGAAGAACGAGAAAAGCGGATCCGAAAGCGCCTCTACCGATCTGTTCAAGAACCTCGTAATCGTCCATCTTCAAAGTTGATTCACCGGTCTTGTTCTCCATGATGTGTTCCTTCCTCTTGTCTGATAAAAGGGTTTGTTTTCACAAGAAAACTGAACAAAGGAGCCTAAAGCATTAGATAGATTCATACAAAACTCATGAGCATTGAATTCGTAAGTATCAACATGAACGCTTGAGGGGAAAAAAAAATGGACCCATTAAACAAAATGTGATTTTGAAATCTGTGGAGAAGGAAAGTTTGGAAATTTCATAATTTTTTGAACAGGCAAAGGAGGGAAGAATATTGAAGATGAAGCAATGGAAGAACAAAAAAAAAAGAAATATTGAAAAGAAAAATAATATATTTTTTAAAAAAAAAAAGGAAGATTCATGTGAAAGATTGACGACCAAACCAAATTGCTTAAGATTTCAGGGTTGTTGTTATAATTACATATGGTTGAACTTTTGTTGACACGTCTTTTTCACACTTTACACTTGGCACAAAAACATTCTCTGAAAGTATCTTTTGTTCAAACTAATGAGCAAAATGTTAGCATTAGAATCTATCTGTTGGTTTTGTGGGTTCAAATTCATGAATTTTTTAGACCCAATATTGAGTTTTATTATAAAAAAAACTTATATTCACACCAACAAATGAAAATTAGACTTCAAAAGCTATCTTAGATTTTCCTATAAGACTTCGAGATATGTTTGGCAGAAATTCGGTGTGAAGATATTTAAATTTGATTGGTTATAATTTTTTAAAATTATATTAAATATGCATTAATATAAAAATAACCAATGAATCATAACAAAAATAAGACTGTTTTTAAAATAAATAGATTTTTTAATTAAAAAATGAATTAAAATATTATTGAAAATCAAATAAAAATAATTTTTTGATTTTAAGAACACTATATAATTCAAACACTCTACCCTCATAACAGGGACATTTCTTTGGACCAAACATGCAAACAGAAAAGTTATATGAATAATAATAAAAAAATGAGTATGTACAAATAAAATCGTTTTTTTTTAAATTCTTATCCCATACCTCGCCATGACTTCTTTTTTTTTGTAATATGTAAATCAAGCCGATTTTCCAAAGATAAAATTAAATATTAAGCTAACACAATGATGACAATTTTAATGTCTCATCCTTATCATTGATCTTTCTACTTTTTTCAAGTTTATTTTTTAACTAATTTTTTAATTTTTCCTTTTGTATCCTATTTGAGTTTATATATAAATTTTCTGGAACGGGCATAAAAAAACATTTTTTCATATTTTATGATCAAAATCTTTTTAACTTAAATTATTTTTAAAAAAAAATATTGATCTCCAAATTATTTTATCTACTTTCTCATTTGTTCGTAATTTGTTTTTCTCTTTCTCTCGCGATAAGATCACGGTCTTTGCGACAAGATGATTACTTTTCTACGGATACGACAAAGAAAACAGCGGATAAGTCTTCTAGTCGTCGATGACTGACCTTAGGAGGCTGTAGTTTGATGGATGAGCGAATGCTTTCGAGACGGGATTCAGATTTTTCCGAGCTTCTCTGCCTTCACAACCGGGTTCGCTTTTCGCTATGGCTCCATGCCCAGCTTCACGGTAATCGTACCTGCATTCGTGTTTTTCCACATCGGTGTGGCCCACAGAGGCTATCCCCGCACGTACCGACATCCGAAACTAGTCAACCCAGCTCGTTTATTACAGGTACAGCGTCGGCTTGGATCCTCCTTAGGCTTCGTTCCAATGGCGGAACATGTCTGACGGAAACGGGTCCACGGGTTTAGCTTGAGCATCCACGGATGCATCTGAAACAGTTTTCTTGACAGTGATGATGATTACGGATGATGATGATGATCCAGACACGACAGAAGCAAGCTTAGCTTGCTGTTCTTGTTGAAACGACATAGCCCTGTGGCACTTCGAACACATGTTCATCGTGGCCGAGCTGCCAAAGAATCCGCAGTTTTTGATACAAAGTTTCGGACAATCGGGCGGGGTTTGGCATCCGGTCTCGTCATGCTCCATTCTGCATCTATGCGTAATAATATCACCCACGATTACTCGTAAGATAAAAAGGAAAAGACTCGACATCATCATCAGTAGTATGGGTTCCATTGTCATCAATGTCATGCGCTATGGATGCCACACAGATCATTCAAACATATGCAAGCAATTCGTTCATAAGCCTAAGCACCGATAGAACAGTTGAACAAGCTTTCTATCATTGGCATGGAAGAATTCACTGATAAAACCGAAGCGGAAGAAGAAGAACAGAAATATCGAAGGTAATTCCAAAGATCTAGACGTTGAATCAGGTGAAAATGTAAGAACACCAGACAAGGAAAATCTGAAATAGAATTTTAATCAATGCTACTTTTTCACCCAAATGGAATCTCCACAGAATCAGTCCCCTGTGCATCCACATGATTCAAAACTTTCAAAAGCCCTATGGATACGCAAACAGAGTGCGAGTAATAAAACCGAACAGTTTCTGATACCATAAGAACCAAAATACGAAACCCAGGAGCATCTCTCATCAATAACGCATCTTTGTAATAAACCCTAACGAAACCCATCAATCAAATGCCACGATCGCTCACCTGTTTGGCCCGAGGAGTCCCTTCCTCGATCGGTTACTGATCAATCACCAACAAAACCCGTCATGAAACCAGAAACGAAATCGCAATCGCGGAGACGAAAATCGAATTCTAGAACAAAAATAGAGAAGGACCCAGAAATGAGATTAGGAAAGGGACAAAACCCTCCAAACCCTAAGAATCTCTCCGAAGAAGATAGTCGGCCGAGAAGGATGCGGGAATAAAGGTCGGTCTTTTAGGCTTCGCTCGGCTTCTTTCTCGTCGATTTTTTTAAGCAACGTCATTTTTTTTTGCCAAAAGAGTATGCACGCGTGTAGGTCTTTCATTGGCCAAAAAATTGATTTTTTTTTTTAAATTCCGAGCTCACGCACAGCATGGTTAGGATTCACCATTCTCACCTCACGCCTCGTCTTGCCATTTGCCCCTCGTCGCTTACCTCGCTCGCCCGTCACCTTGTGCTCGCCACTCACTTTTCATGTACGCCCTTTTCATCTCAACTTGGGTCCTATGACGGATTCCGAACCTCAAAACCCGAGAGAGTCTTCAAGATCAGATACTATAAAGCCTCGAATACTCGATCCGTGTGCAGTGTTCACCACTAACAGCATCCTATTATCCCAAAAAAAGAAAACATCGTTTCTTAAGAGCATGACGACGCAAAAGGATCACTGTTTCTTCTGACATGACGATGGTACAGACAGAATTTTCCACACATTGCAGAGACGAAACTAGATCACCACACTTTCGAGCTAGATAATGTTACCATGAGAATATACTCGAACGGACATGACATTGAGACAACATGCGCATAGGCCATGGATGGCAAACATCACCAGCCAAGTATGTGACGAGGCGAGAGCTTATGTTGCAGAACATTGTATTCAGATCTTGTCGAGCTTCTCTGCCTTCACAACCGGATTGTCTTTGGCTATAGCCTCCTGAGCAGCGGCATGGTAATTGAAGGAGCAATCATGTTTATCCGCATAGCGGTGAGACCCACAAAAGAGAATACCACACCGACACTTGAAACCGGTCAAACCCACCCTCTTATTGCAGGTACTGCATCGGCTTGGTCCCTCCTTCGGTTTTGCTTCTACTGCTACTCCAGTGTCAGTCGCAGAAGAAGATGACTGAAGGAAACCGGCATTCGGCTCCACAGGTTTAGCTTGAACGTCCGCAGATGCAACAGAGGTTTCCTTTGATGCGTTAATGCTGGATGATGATCCAGACACGACAGAAGCAAGCTTAGCCCCCTGTTCTTGTTGAAACAACATAGCCTTGTGGCACTTGGAGCACATGTTCATCGTAGCCGGGCTACCAAAGAAACCGCAATTGTTGATACATAGCTTCGGACATTCAGGCGGAGTTTGGCATCCAGTCTTGTCATGGTCCATTCTGCACTTAAATTGTGTCAGCCTCAGTTACTCTAACATCAAGAAGATAGATAACCCAGATCACGGAAATTTCTAATCTGTCTCCAATCTAACAACAGCACATGAATCAATTTGTTTTGAGTCTCGTAAACATCTCAGAAACAACCAAGCACCAAAAACCCGTCTCACGAAATATCTGATTCGAACGATGAATATAAACAAGCAATTCATCGGCATTTCCTTCTCCAAGCAATCTAGGAATGAACTTTTCTAGTGGTAAAACGTCTAAATTACAGGGTTCGAGGAAAATAGAAGAAAGCACGCATCTTTTCCCCCCGTAATCATAAAAAATACGAGCATCAAAAGCTCATATATCATCCAAATCGTAACCCTTTGTTCAACACTGCAGCCTCAGAACATTAGACCGATTACACGGTACCAGAAATTGAGTTCCAACCACAAAGGCTGCAAAATCTTAGCTACCAGCAGCAGGCAAATAGTAGCAAAAGAAATCATCTCCAAGAAACAGAGCAGCTAAATCCAAACTACAAATCCATTTAAAACTACGTTACCACCCAAATCAATACTGTAAAATCAGTCCCTATCATCAGAGGATTTATCATCTAAATCCAAGAAATTAATTTCGGAGTCGATAAACAGCAAGGATATGAAATCAATTTGCAAACAAATTAGAGGTTGAATTCGGACAACATGAGAGACACAAATTCCCAGGATCACAGAACCATTTCTCACACAATCAAACTCCAAATAAATCATACTATCAAATACCATAACCACTCACCTGTTTGGGCTGGGAAGCTCTCTCTCGATCGGTACCTAATCGTTCAAAAAACGAAAACAAAACAGGACCCATCACAAACCAGAAAGCAAAATCAAATCGAGAAGAATAAAAACGAAATCGAAATCCAAAACAGAACAAAACCCAGAGGGGAAATCGAAAAAGAGACAAACCCACTTACCCTAAGAATCTATCTCAACGAGATCGTCTGCCGGAGAGAGACCCCAGCAGCAGCGTAGAAGGGAAGAGAGTGAGAGAGAGAGCTTTTTCTTTTAGGCTTATGTTCTTCTTTCTTTCCTATACAATTAAGCAACGTCTATAATCGCACCGTTTCTGCTAATTAAACGTTGACGTCTTCGCTGTTCATTGGCTGGATATTTAATTCATTTAAGACGCACCTCCAATTTTTTGAATTAACAACTAATATCTTCGGTTTAGCTAAACCGGGTGAATTCGATTTTTAATTTTATTCGGTTTGTTTATATTTCTCTCTGGGTCATATTCGGTTTTCTCTTCTTCTTTTTTTCAAAACAATATAGAAAAACATTCTTATAATTAATAAATAATCTATATAGTTAATTTAAATATACACACAATGTCTTTCTTGATTGTTTGGATCTATTAAAACAGATTTCCATTGTTCCACGTGTTCACTTGGACCAACCACTAAGCAACCACTATACATATTTTTCTTCATTAATCATAATTGCATTTTTTGACCAATGTAATTAATTTGCGATCAACGTGTCATTATGTTAAGACTTAAGATGATCCTAAATATAATTAAATTAATAAGATAGCCTACCTTTTAATTTTTCGTAAATTAATTTTTTTATAATTTGAAAGGCCTATTTTATCCATATATATATTTGGGTTTAATGTAGTTTATGATAAAGATAGTGCTGCGCTTCTCATAAATTGTTTCAACGGTTTTGTACGTTAACAATGCACACATATGTGTTTTTCAAAGAATTTGTTAAAGGCTAGTTTCATATTTTTATTTTATTTTAATTTTATTTTGGATTTTTACCTTATTACCCCTTCTGACATCACCCAAGACGTGTCAATACGCGGAACCAAAAATTCACAAGAAACCCTTACTGTAAATTGTAATATTATTTCCAATAAATTCACCTAAAAATGTTTCGATGAGAATACCGGTTTTTATTCTTTTACAAATGTTGCAAGAATTGCATGGCATACGACCAAAAATAAAAAAATTTAAAAATATATATATATATATAAGCATCTGTGTCTGAAATTTATATTCATGGATCTTTGCGGCCTGAAACCAATTTCTTCTAACAAATTAAGATTCCAGTTAATCAAGATTTCGGTCGATCACATTACTTCCAACAGAAGAAAGAGCAAGAAACAAAATCAGAAAACAGTTAAAACAGTTAAAATTTCCAACCCTTTCTTGCACCGCAAGAAACAGAGCCCAATCAGTCGTTCCACATGTTGAAAACACCGCTCGGACTCGAGCCGTGAACCGACGATTCTCCGGACCATCCTCCTCCACCCGTCGGCATATCATAATCGACCTTAACGACTGGAAATTCCTCGGCCGATCCAACTGCTGGATTCAGCCCAAGAAACCCTCCTGTGTTGCAGCTTCCATTAGAACTTCCATTGTTGTCCAAGACCGAACTGGAGACCAGACCGTGAAGATCTCCCGTGTTGCTATGAAGATACGGGTTGTAAATTTGCGAACTCTGGTCCGGTTGTTTCAAGTAATCGGCCTGCTGGTGAAGATGGAGCTGTGTCTGAAGGCAGCTCTGGTGAAACGGTGAGGAATCGTGGGCATTGTACTGAGGAATGCC